GCTATAAAATGAGAATATAATGATTCATTATCAAAAGAATTCAGGAAAGGATTTTATTTTTTCTTTGAGGAAAAATACATAAATCTCCCACCCATTCTGAGAGTATTTCACAATCAGCTCATGATACATTTTGATGTTTATATCTAACATTAATAGTTGTTTTTATGTTTTTATTGCTATTGATATTAATTGAGTTATGGTCACAAAAAAAGGGGAAGATTGATTGCTTTGCAAACCAATAATGGAAAGCAATTTGAAAAAGGTTAAGATGATGTTCTGAATCATAACTATGTTTGTATTTATGTAAAGTATGGTATCTTACCTTTTTGTTCCTAGCTTAAATGTGAAGAAACAGTAGTGGATTTTTTTTCTATTGTTGTTTTGTAGTATTCCTGTCCCCCAGTCCCTTCAATGTGTATATTACCATTCTTCAATGAAGTAATAGGGCATTTAACAAAGATCGCTCTGTGCAATACTGTATGTAGTGTTTCTATTTCAATTTTTTAGGATGTTAATTTATATGAAAATAAAATGAATAATAAAATATTTTTGTGTCTGTCCTGTGCACAGTGCATAAGGATACTTGGAAGATAACAGCTGTCTTAGTCACTTTCCTTGTCACTGGGACAAAGTAGCCAAGCCCTCCATGTAAAGGGGGAGAAGTTGCTTTGAGCTTATGGAGCAGTCCATGGTTAGGTTGCTCCAAAACAGAACTGACGAAGCAGAGGGGCACAGCAGAATGAATGCTGCTTATAACTTGGCAGCTAGGAAGGATAGAAAGAAGGGAGGACAAGGAGGGAGAGTCCATTGCCCAGGCCAGGCCCTCAGTGACCTGACTCTCAGGACAAGACCTTATCTCCTATGGGCACACTCCCATACTAAATTCACCAGAGGGTGAATCCACCGATGAGCTCAGTATTCCTTTGATCAGACCATCTTCCAAGCACACAAGTCTGTGAAGGGTTATTTCAAATCTAAACCATAACCACAGCCACCCTGTTGAACATCGGCATGTGCTGGGACTGAGAGAGGAGTAAAATTTAAGTTAGTCTGCAGATGCCCTTATGTAGAAAACGTGCCCACTATTGCAGGATCCAAACACTTGAGCAATACCTAAGTAGAAAATCATGATGAAATATTTACCTCTTTGAGCCTGAACTATGATTTCCACCGAGCTTGCAGAGAACGTCTGTACATTTCCAGATGGGTGTCTCATGTTACCTTCCAACTCCTGGTGTGCAGGGCCAAACTTGGCTTGTGTTCTTATCCCTCCAGACCTGCCCTTCATTCTGTGTTACCTGTCTCCGTAACACAGAAGTACCACCCACTCACAACCTGAGTCAATGTCCATAGCTTACTTTCCCTTGTGTTGCCGCTGAGTTGATTGCCAGGCCCATTGGTGCTGCATGCTTAGTATCTCCAGGATGCATCCACTTCCCTCCAGTTCTCTCACTAAAGGTCTAGTTCAGAGCCCTCATGAGTTGCCTTAAGCTACCCGTTCTTCTCACACATTCAAAGATTTTCCTTGCACTAGTGTTTCACCCTACATTGAACACAATTTTTTCTCTCAAAGACAAATTTGCTAATCTGAATTTCTTGTTGAAAATATGTTAGTGGAAACATTACCAAGATCCAGAGCCTCAAAATATTACTCAAAATCTTTACTGTGATTAAAGAGGATGGGGGGCCTACTGCACATCTTAGTCACTTGTCTTGATTCAACCTGACTTGAATTCCAGCCTCCAACCAGACTACAATACCTTGAGTCTTTTCATGTTGTACTATTTCTCAATTGCTGTGATTTAAATGTATCCTCCAAAGCTCAAGTGTGGAAGCTCAATCCCAAATGTGAGTATTAGGTGATAGATACTAAGGAGAAGTGCTTGGCTTGTGAGTGTTTTAATGTCATTATTGAGGGAATGGGCTTCTTATAAAAACACTGCCATGTGCACACTCTCTTGCCAAGTGCGTGACTCTCTTTGGCCTTGTCAAGATATAACAGAAAGGCCCTCCCCACACGTAACCCACTGAGCATGAAATTCCCAGCCTCCAGAACTGAAAACCAAACAAAGTTCTATTGTTTATAAAGTTCCCAGTCTGTGCTAACTGCGATAGCAGCACAACAGGGACTAACCTAACTCATAAGTCTCTCTATGCTTTCCCTCAGCTTGAAGCATTTTTCCACATGGTTATCTCACATTAGAGTATCTGATTATGGTCGTAACTTGCTCTGGACCATCTCTAGGCACTTGTCTCTTCTGGTACGTAAGCGTAACAGATATCCAGTACATTCATTAATTAAAGCAAGATGAGGCATTACCTATGCCAACTGCTTCTGGAAAGAAGTGAACCGAGTATTGAAGTCCATTGTTGAAAAAAAGGATAGTGGTAAAGACAACAGTAATGTTAAAGAACGAAGAGGAAAAGAAAGACTCAATGTAGATTAAATGATGTCATTATTAAGGCATTTAAGTAGCTCTAGGTGTGGGAGAACTTTTTATGGGTGAAGAAGCATAAGGCTGTGAGTTTAAAATCTGAATTTTCTCTCTGTTGACAAATAGAAAATGAGGTACAGTATAATTTCAGAAGTATGGATAAAGTTGGTGGAGAGGCTAAGGCAGGAAGTCACAACGCATGAGCAAAAGGAGCCCCTCTGCATAAAGAGCCAATGTGCCCCCATTCATGGCAGAAGCCAACCCATACTCTGCCAGGTATGTGGGCCTGAAGTGTACTTTGCCTAGCAGTAGGAGCTGAGTGACAGTAGCTATGTTGAATACCACAGGATCAGGCAGACACAACGCAGCATAGCTCTGATGGTAGGACAAACAGACCAAACGGAGTCACACTCACCCTTCTATGTTACTGTCACACAGGAGCCCAGTGTAACTCAAAGAGGCTAAATCTGAGTGAAAGAGTAGCCTTGACATAATGGCTAGATGTTGAGGGAGAAGGAGGTAAAGAGCATATATTCCCTGTCAAGATGTCTTCAAAACACACTTTTCAGAAAAATCATCAGTAAAAAACAGTAAATCTCAGTAGATGGAAAAATTAATTAATGTTCACAAATGCAAATAAGAGGGCAATTTTTAAATTAATAATTACTATGTTTAGGGTCTGCAGTGAAATTTGGAAAATCTAATTGAGACAAAAAAGGAATGAATGCTATGGTAGTTAGGGTAGCAAGTAAATTTCATCAGTTCTGGCCAAGTCTTGAGAGTGAGTGGTCCATGCTTGTGCATGGATCATCACGGCATGGCTCCATGGTCTCCATCTAGCCCCTCCCACCGTCCTCTCTGGTGCCCTCCTCATGCTTCCCAGCTCCATGACTAAGTACCTTTGTTCCCCCATGCCCTTTTGCCATGATGCTCCTGCCTTGGATCCACATACCAGGAACTGAATCTCTTCATATTAAGCCAAATTCAACCTCTCCTGTAGGGTGTGTGTGTTGGACATTATGTCCAGCAATTGAGAAGCTGATAATAAGTTGAATGGATTCTGTCTAGATCAATGCAAGTGAAGAGACAATTAGTGACCTGCAAGATTACACTAAAGAATTCACTGAAATAATTCCACAGAAGATTGTTTTAAGATGGACAAGACAAGATAAAAGAGATACAAGAAAAAAGGATCTGATTGGGACTGGAAAGAGTTCAGTGGCCTAAGCACCTGCCTGACAAGTGTGAGGACCCAGTTTCGATCTCTGGTACAACATTCCATGATGGCCTCAGAACCCTGGCAGCCCTGTGCCAGCCACTGAAATCAGGCATGGTGGCACACACCTATAATCCCAGCGCTGGGGAGGCTGACACAGGAGGATCACTATGAGTTCAAGCTGCGTAGCGAGACAGTGTACCAAATAAATAAAAGAAAGATTAATTTTTTTTTAAAGGAAGGATCCAATGAGAAGAAATTAAGAGAAATGTTAGGACACATAGTAGATTGAAGATACAATGACTGAGAAATTTCTAGAATAAAGGAAAGATCCATTCTTTGCTTGAATGTGTGCAGTAAGTGCCAGATGAGATAAATAACAAATGTGCACCTAGAGAGAGGCCACACTGAATCTTCATTTAGGTAAAGATAAAATTTCAGAATCTCTGAGAAGACAGAGCACATCACCTACAATGACATGACAGCTGTCCTGAAACCACATTTGTCTTCAGCAACAATCTACATCAGAAAATAACAAACAATGTCTTCAAG